AAGACACAATCAGATGTTCATCATTTACCACATGTAATTCTGTCAGATTACTAACAAAGCCACATTTAGAGCAACCTTCTGCTGTACCTTTCTGCTACCCAGAGCCGGATCAAAGGACACTTTTGTTCAACGATTTGGCCTATCATAGGATTTACCGCTTCATTAAAGGGATAGTTTGCCCAAAAATGAAAATTCTGTCATTAATTACTTACCCTCATGCCGTTTCAAACCTGTAAGACCTTCGTTCATCTTTGGAACACAAATTAAAATATTTTTGATGAAATTCAAGAGCTTTCTGACCCTGCATAGACAACAACGTAACTGACATGTTCAAGGCCCAGAAAGGTGGTTAGGACATCATTAAAATAGCCCATGTGAGCTGGCGTTCTGACGTTGATCCCGGATGTGCTGCGCCTTGTTTACAAGCAGAAGATGACGCACACTGAACATAAAACAGTCTTCGTAAACATGTCTGAAGATTTCAACACAGAGAGGATGACTTGCAATTTGCCCAGCCTTGCTTATTCGAACAAGAATATACAGACGATGAACTAAGAGAGATGGACGTTCTACGTTAGAATGCCGGCTCCTGCATCAGCAGCACCGCACACACGTCGTGGTACTCTCATGAATGCATGTCGAAGACTGACACAGAAGAGAAGAAATTGTTGTTATTTTTGTTTTCTTTAGCGCACAAAAAGTATTCTTGTAGCTTAATAATATTACGGTTGAACCACTGATGTCACGTGGACTATTTTAATGATGTCATTACTACCTTTCAGGGAATGTGGTAGTTGCTTTGTTGTCTACAGTATGCAGGGTCAGAAAACTCTATCAAAAATATCTTAATCTGAGTTCCGGAGATGAACAAAGGTCTTGCAGGTTTGGAATGACATGAGGGTGAGTAATTAATGGGTGAACTATCCCTTTAAGAGTGATGTTAATAACAGTGGATACTAATAGAACCATTTTCATTAAAACATAACACTGAACAGCCTCGTGGGATTTTTTAAATGAAACAAACTTGAAATGCCAAACTGAATTTGGGATTGTTAAACTTTTTTAATGTTTTTAAAACAAATCTCTTATGCTCACCAAAGCTGAATTTGATTTGGTCATTAATACAATAAAAATTGTAAAATTGTAAAATATTATTATAATTTTTCAAATAACTGTTATTTTAATATATTTTAATATGCAATTTATTCCTGTGATGGCAAAGCTGAATTTTTAGCAGTCATTACTCCAGTCTTCAGTGTCACATGATCCTTCAGAAATCATTTTAATATGCTGATTTGTGGCTCAAGAAACATTTGTTATTATCAATGTTGAAAACAGTTGCGCTACTTTATATTTTTGTGGAAACCGTGTCACATTTATTGGGAATTCTTTGATGAATATAAGCATTTATTTTAAATATAATTTTTTTGTACATTTACAAAAAAAAATAAAAAAAATTACACTTACAAATGAGGACAATAACATTTGTAACATTATAAATGTCTTTAATGTCACTTTTAATCAATACAGTGTATCCCTGTTGAATAAAAGTATTGATTTCCCTCTCAAGTATAGAAAAACATACCAGCTTGTGTCATCACCTCAGGGTACCGCAAGTAATCCCCAAGAAATGAAGCGAGTAGCAGTGTCCACTGAGTTGTGCTTCTCTGCACTGGTATTTTGAGTCACTCAGTGCCTTTGGCCCCTCTTTTGTTTACCGCTGAGCCCTGAGTTTATTTACTTCCTGTTAGATGAATGAAAGCACAGCCAATCAAACCAGGTCAGAGAGATAGAAACGAGAAGAGGTACTCACAAAGGACCATGAGAAAATAGATTGGGCCTGAGAAACTGCGAGCACAGTTTGTTTAGCCTTTTTGAAGTTCTTGGACACTGTCTGAGTGCCGCTGTGGGTGGGACGGATGGAGGGTAGACCGAGGTAAAGAGTTTCCACTAAAAAGTAACTATTCAGATGGTTATTATCTATTAAACTAAAACATTTACTTGACATTTTAAGAGATGAATTACTGATTCAGTCTAAATAAAATTTAACATTTAAATGCATTGGAAGTCACTGCATCACATAAAATTGAACTTTTCTTAACCTTGTTGTATCCCCAACGGTGTCTGCCGGTCATGTCACCTCAAATCACTGTCTCTCATTGAAAATAAAGACTTCCAGTTGTTTTGTCACTCCAAATCGCTGTCAGTGTGAACGCACCCTAAGAAGTCAGCTGGCTTGTTGGATAACAATTGTAAATGCTAGACAGTTTCTGGATAAAGTATATGCTTCTGTATGTGTGTGTGCTTGTGTGTTTACTTGTGAGTGTGTTAAAGGCAAACTATAGTATGCGACAGCCCCAATTGATCGTTGAAGGATAAGAAGAGACATGCTTAAAACCCTTTCTTTTCTAATCAACTCATCTCTCTCTTCTCCACTCCTCTGTTTCCACATCTCCACGCTGATCTTCTTTTTCTCCTCTCTGCACTCCTCATCCTTTTTGTCCTCTTTTTTGCTGAGAATTGGAGTTTTCTGGAAGAAACAGCTGGAGGAATATGCCCCACTGATTCCTTACCCACAATCCAATCTGCCCACAGACCACTGAACTCTCTCGCTATCTGTGTGTGTGGTAAAATGCTTTTTGCTTGGTCATTTTGATTATATGCTTGACCAGCATAAAATAATGAAGTATCTTTTGGTTGTAGACAAATTTAAGACAAAAAGGTCCTTCTAAAAAGAATCAAAAGCAATTCAAAATTGATTTTACATGTAGGACACCCTGGAACGTAATTATATTGCAATAATGTGACTAATCAATTGAAAAAATATGTGTGTGTACAGTGTATATATACTGTATATATATATATATATATATATATATATATGTATATGGCTAATTATGCCAAATGTGGCTAATTATGGCTAATGGGAAAAAAAAGTTGGACATGATGACTGAGGACTGCAAATTTCTTTGAGAAAGTCATTGCTTCCGGTATAATTAATTCCTCATTGTTGGATATGATGCAAAAGTAAGGCAATTGTGTGCTGAGGGATTTTATTAAAGGCATATTTCCTTGAATTAAGGTCATGCTAATTAACTAGGGACTTATAGGGACCAGCAAAATATAGCTAGACAGGCTAATGCAGTGACTGGTGATGTTTTTTCATGGCCATATACGATGATCCGCTAAACTTTGCTGCTTCTGCCTGCCTTTGAAGATGAGTAGACCTTCAGGACCCTTTGGATTTCTCTGTAGAAAATGCATGAAGCCAATTAGACCCATATTATTGCAAAAATAAGAGACTTGTTACAGGTACAGTGATGATTATTTAAAATATATATATTAGTTTTGTTTAGAGGCCTGAGCGTTTCAAAAATAGCCATATTGACTATTTCCTGTGAATGAATAGATAATAACATACTTATGAAAATTCTAACATTTTGTTGAGTACATTACTGATTCTCTGCTACTCTTTAAAGGACCAAAAACCCCTGCAATGTAGCAAATGGAGGATGTACCTCATTTTTTCCTTATGATGTTTTCAACATACTAGGCTTTTAATAGAAATGTGGCCTACTACAAATGTGACATATTTCTGTTTGAAACTGGACATTTAATGAGTAAACATTTTAGGATGTGACTCTATATGACAGGTTGTTTGAGAAGAGTGTCTGTAAAATAAGAAGAGGCTCTGCATATTATTGCATTCTCATGACAGATCACAAAGACAAAAAAATCTCAAATATATTTAGTTGTTCATTTTTATAGGGTCAGTTTAGTTACACTATCATTAAAATATGAAATCACATTCCCATTGCGTTGTTGATATTCTGCTATTTTATTTATGATGGGATGTGAAAGACATATTTGCTCTTTTTCTGTGATGAGCTATAGGACAGGAGACTGATCCTTCAGTGTGTTGGGATGTTTGCCATCACTGCACCTGTTGTTTGTGATGTTGTATTGTTTGTGGATTTATATGTTGTATGCTGGTGGTTATTAGACTATGGTGCTATGGGAATGGAAAACCTGAACCTGTAGAGTGAATCTGTAGAGAGTCGTTTTCTGTGAAAGAGATACTCTGGAGCAGAATCAATTCAGAGTTAAACCAAAGTCCCTTTAAGGTTTCCCAATCTGGGGTTTGTGAGTGGATGATGTTAATGATGTTGACTTCCATATGGAAAGTCAATGGCTACCGGCAACTGTTTTGTTACCAACATTCTTCAAAATATCTTATTTTGTGTTTAACAGAAGAAAGAAACTCATACAGGTTTGGAACAACTTAAAGGTGAATAAATGATGACAACATTTTCATTTTTGGGTGAACTATCCCTTTAAGGTAAGTCAGTTCACTTTGTGACCATCATGGAAATGTCCCCAGACAGTTGTTTTCTAGGTACTGCTTCTGTCCACTCAGATGGGGGAAGACTGAAATCTTAAAATCTAACAATCATAAATTGTTTTTGTTTTTCAGATGACATGTTGAGCGATATTTCACATTTTTACAAGTGGTCTCACCTCCCCCTTGTGCTATCCCTAACTGAACTTTATCTCTGTTTTTGAATACAATGCACAAATTTTTACGTAACAGAGCACAACTTCCTTCTCTATTGCAATTCTAATAATGTGCATTTGATTTGTCATTGCTCGTAATCCAAATCTTATGTTTAATGCATTATAATGCAACTTTTATCAGCACATTTATACAGAAGCTCACATACTCAACTAAACATTGCAAAGACGCTCCCCAAGGAAACTTTGTGATGTCTGTTTGTATGAAGACAGATAATATTTTCTCTGAAGATTGTGGTAATTGTGATCGTGGAGGCAGCTGGGGGCTAAACACTGAACCCGTACTGAAGGGTTACGCTCATCCACAGTGGGCTCGTTGTTGGTGTTTTTTTCAGCTGGATGTTGAATAACATTACGTAACCTGTTCTGACGTGGTGGCACTGTAAGAGGCTGCAGTATGCTGACTTTGTTTTCTCCTGTCATTGCAGATCTCGTCATTAGAGTGGCAAAGGATAAATTCGGAGCCATACAATCCGAGTACCAGAAGGTAAGTGCATGTGACTGTGCCTACCTGAACCTCTGTGTGATTACGTGCTCCGCCACCGTAGTTCATTTGCAGGGACAATGTCTCAGCGCATCTATTATGAAACAATATTTTAATTGCGTTTGAAAGCCAAGGAGAGAGCCTTACCCTATTATGCGCTTATTCTGGAAGAGCTGTTAATTGCTTTTGGCATTATAGCCTGTAGTAAACAGAGGAAGAAACTATTTGTTGCTTTTTAATAACAGAGTTTAATTAAACAACAGCTCTTGCTTTGAAGTTTCAGCATCTTACTCCTGGGAACAAACAAACATTTGGGGCAAAACTTAATGAATCAGTTTCACCGACATTTCTTGTGATGGTTAGAGGAAATGTGAGTTCAGAGATACACAGCCACCTCAATTTACCATATCTGTTTATCAGAAAATAGCCCTATATTATATTATATTATATTATATTATATTATATTATGTTATATTAAAGTTTTGGGCCTGTAAGTTTTCATTTTTGAAATAAATTAATACTTTCATTGAGCAAGGACACATTGTATGATCAAAAGTGGCATTTAAAACTTACATTGTTCCAAAAATGTCCATTTCAAATCAATGTTTTTCCTTTGAACTCTGTTCAGCCAGCAGCACTACTGTTTTCAAATGTGACATGTTTCTCGAGCACCAAATCAGCATATTAGAATCAAAATTCAGCTTTTTATTAGAATAAAAATCCATCACATGAATGAATTACATTTTCAACTATATTAAAATAGAAAACAGTTATTTTAATATTTTAATACTCTATTTTTGATTCTAAAAAGACAGTATTGGTGAATATAAGAGACTTCTCATAAAAACATGAAAAAATGCCAACCACAAACTATATATGCAATACATATAGATATAATTTAATTTTGTATATTTTTATATTAAAGGATCATCACTTAATTTAGTAATTTAAGTTTAAGCTTAAAATTCATAAGGATGAAAAACGATGATTTCAAAATGGTCAAATATCAGTCTATAATCATTCACTCACTCTTTTCAGTTTTATTCTGTTTTGCTCTTGAAACACTTAAGAATATGGAGAACTGGATATGTATGTGAGTGTCGGCCAAATCCATGATTCACTCAATATCTGGGACTGTCAAAATGGGTCTGGTTCCCAGAACAGATGAAAAGTGCTCTTCCTAGTTCTTAAGTGATTTTATTTGCCATTTGTTTGACTGTTTATTTGATTTTGCTTACCATCTGTTCTTCATTTTTTTCTGTTTTTGCTGTTCTGCATGCCTATCATCATCTGGCACCTCCCAGCCAGAAAACATTGTTCTGACGCTACAGGTAATGTGTGTGTCCTGCTAGAAGTGTCAAGGGCCAAACCAGACCCAAGTCTGACAACCCTCATTCCTTAGTTGCACGCACCTAACCCGTTCAAAGCCCAGCCGTTCATGTCTGTTTCAGTGTTACTCTCCAGTCTAATCTTGACTGTGGTTATGTCATCCTTGTGGAACGCTAGGAACATTACATTGATTTAAATGATCTAGATAAACATTACACTTTTAGTACAGTTTTAAAACTGGGAATATGTTCATTTCACTTTTTTCTTGGCCATCCTGTATTAAAAGGTATTAAATTTCAATTTCATCTCTGTAATTGGTAAGATAATCACAGATACACAAATTTCCTCATCTTAAGCTATCTGCAATTTTTAGCTCAGCCATGACCTAGTAAGAGGAGTGTAACTACGATAACAGGAATGATGTTATTCCTAGATGAACCTGTCTAAAGCTTATATATGCTGATACGAGAGAAGCACATCAGACGGTCAGTGAGAGGGAATGACCATTCATAGTAGAATGGTCAATAACCTCATGCCCTAAGTGCTATATGTGTGAAGTCCTCCTTAAAAGTCTTAGCTTCTAAGCTTTTGTGTCATTTCCAAGAAGACTTTCAGTTCTTACTCGCATAGGCATGAGGGGAAATTAGCTTTTAAAACCACTTTTAGAGAATTTTAATATGGAAAGGCTCTACCCTTGAGGAGAAGCGAGGTTATTCGGTGACAGACAAAGCCTCTGGTTTATTCAGTGGATTAAGCTTATCCACAGGCTAGCCGGAGGACAGCCCTGCTCATTCAGAAGTGTCCATAATGCAAATGGATTCAATGGCAACATATGGAAAAAGCATTTAACATTATTCCATCATGTTACATACGGCATGGAAATTTTGCAGAGCACGGTTTAATTTCCCTCACTTCAAAAGCCCTTTTAATGGAAGGCTTTGGAGACAAGGATATTTGCTTTACTTGAAAAAGAGCACAAAGGCCTCCATGTCTTGTTGCATTTTTTTTTTAAATATGAACCGTGAAAATATTTTGTAGCTCATTTAAATATACCTTAGTGTTCCTTTAAAAAACGGGTGATAATAATTTAAAGGAACAGTTCACCCGAAAATAAAAATCTGCTGAAAATCTACCTACCCTAAGGCCATCCAAGATGTAAATGAGTTTGTTTCTACATCGGAACAGATTTGAAGAAATTTAGCATTACATCACTTGCTTACCAGTGGATCCTCTGCAGTGAATGGGTGCCGTCAGAATGAGTGTCCAAACAGCTGATTAAAAACATCACAGCATAATCAACACGACTTCAGTCCATCAATTAACATCTTGTGAAGTGAAAAGTTGCGAGTTTGTTTTAAACAAATACATCATTAGGCTATTTTTAACTTCAAACTATCGCTTCTGGCTAAAATGTAAGTCTTTTATCCACAATATTGCTTGAAACAAACTCATCTACATTTTGGATGTCCAAAGGATGAGTACATTTTCAGCTATTTTCATTTTTGGGTGAACTACTCCTTTAATTTCTGTGCATGTAGTGCTCACTAGTGTTACTGTAGTTCTAAAATAATCACACATGGCTCTCCTTCCTTCCTTTTACCCACAGAACTAAACCTAAACTTTAAACCTGTATAACTTGGATGGTTCCCTGGATGCAAATTAAGCCATAACTGAGATTTATTTACCTGAACTTCATTGCAGACCAGGCTTAAACTGCATCAAGGAAACCATCTCAAAAAATAACTCTGTTTGTTTGCATTTATTGATCATGTTAGAATTTCTAATCTATGTAACTTTGTGTTGTGTGCAGGTGATTTATTATGAGCTTGGTTTTGTGGTGTGTGCGGCACTGGGCCTGCTGTTCACCGTGCTGCTACCGCTGGTGGGGCTTCTCTTTTGTTTGTGCCGCTGCTGTGATAACTGCGGAGGAGAGATGCACCAGAGACAGCGGAAGAACGCAGACTGCCTTAGAGGACTGCTGACCACGCTGTTACTCACCACCACCTTCATTATCACGTAAGTTTTTGTGTTTGTCTGAATGTGCATGTGTGCTTGCATTAACACACTAAAGGCCCATTCACACAAGGATGATAACTATAGAAAATCTAAGTCTTAACTTTAGCAACATGCTATCATCAAGCTCTATTAAAATCAGTTATGAATTACGTCTCTATTTGTGGAAGCCTTCCAAACTGGTCACTTACGAGGTGCCACTTAAAACGCAGGTAGCAGACAGCAAAAGCAGCTTAGTAGGTTTTGGAACAGAGCCTAAATAATCCAACGTAAACTCAAAACTGATGATCTTTTCAATAAAAGTCCTCAACATGGACACTTCTGAGCTTGTAATTATTCTTTCTTTCCTAAAGTTACCATGTACCCAAAGACATATTGTAGACAAGTGTACACTCCAGGAAGAAATACAGCAGAATTGTACAAAAGCAGGAGCTCCAGGATAGCGACGACAAACTGAATAGAGTGTTTGATGTTCCTCAGCTTTATGCATTCAGCTGGCTGGCTCTTTATTAAAGATTCCACAGCACATGCCTGGCTGCCTGGAGATGGGCATGTCTCCTCATGTACAAACCTCCTGGGATTTCAACCTTCATGATTCTGATGAAGCTGTAACAGTTGCTACTCTGCACATTCCTCTCTTCAGTGCTATATTAAAGCGGGTCAATCTTGTTTAATGTGAGGCAGGCGCCACCCAGTCTCTTAGTGAGAAGTTTAACTGAAAATTATTCAAATGTTGCATGATTGTCCTGAGAGGACTCTCAAAGAGAGGTTATGGAAAATTTCTTGAGTTTGAAGCATCTCCAGGGGAGGTTATGAGTTGGATACCTTCTGATGTGTTTGGAGAGGTGCTTGAATGGTGTTTTTTTCGTTTTTTGTTCTGGAGTTTCGTTGACCTATCTTTTCATTTGTCTTTTCCAAACTTTTATTATAATTGCTTGATAAACTCAGGCCGCTTTTCTCAGGGCTCTGCTGTTTTCACATAAAACATTGGGCATAATTTAGGCTTGATGAATAATTAAAGAAGTGATCCAATTATGGCAAGAAAATTCCTCATTAGTGCAATCTCACTCTTAAGAGAAAAACAGCATTTCTTAGGGACACTGTCAACCCAGTCATGAACACAATGGTGTGATGGTCAGGCAACATAACAGCTTTAGGCATGTATTACTTGTATTTTTAGTTCAATTCTTGTAAGACTTTGTCCGACGGTCTTCCAGACTTTAGATCACTGGCATCCATTACTATCTGTTTGGTACATGCTTAACATGCATAATCAGTTGGCTGCAAGTAGTTTCATTATGCGACTTTGTAAAAAAGATGGTCTGTCCTAAATATATACTATTATGTATACTATTATATACTATTTTATATATAAATTCACTGTACATTAAGAAGTTTGGGATTGGTAAGATTTTTCATGTTTCTGAATCACTTATGCTTTCCAAGGCTGCATTTATGATCAATAATACAGTAAAAAGAGTAATATTGTGAAATATTATTACAGTTTAAAATAACTGGTTTCTATTTTATTAATTGTTAAAATTTAACTTATTCCTGTGATTAAAAAAAGATACATTTTCGACAGCCATTTCTCTAGTCTTCAGTGTGTCATCATTGTAATAAGATGATTTTGTGCTTAATAAAAATTTCTTATTATTATGTTGAAAACAGTTGTGCTGCTTAATATTTTTTGGAACCTGTGATACATTTTTTCAAGATTTTATGATAAATAAAAAGTTCAAAAAATTAGGAATCTTTTGTAACATTATAAATGTCGTTACTGTCACTTTTGATCAATTTAACGCATTCTTGCTGAATAAAAGTGTTTAAATCCTACTAGCCATAAAACCTTTGAACGATAATGTGTATATAAAACATATATTGCATGTTAGATGTTTTCTGTTTTACAATGTAAATGGTGTTAAGTTGCCATGTGCCATTGTACTAAAAATAGATGCTATCACTGTTATTTACAAATGACCGCACACATAAATTTGTGTCCTCATTCTGGAGAAGGCTGCCCTTTAAAAAATAATGACGCTGTCACGCTTTTGCTTGCTGTTTTATTATAGATTTATTTAAATTTGAATGTGTATTTATATTTAATTAGTCCACAGCTAAAGATAATTAATGAATCTGCTCATTTTAATTTGTTAACACAGTTGTATTATCCATGTCAATGTAAAATTCATGTTTAATGTATCTTTAAAATGGACCATGAATTTTACTTTGACATTTTTACATGATTGTTTTTTGTAAATGGATAAGACATCAGGGTTTACATGCATTTAAATGATCAGATTCATTCATTAAATTCATTATCTTCAGCTGTGGTCCTAAAATGGCTCAAAATAGAAAAAAATAAAAAATAAATGTATGCACACTTCAATTAATAAAACCCTTTTTCCTTAGATCTTTCTCTTAAATTTCTTAGGGGAATTAAAAAATAGACACAAATGAGAATCATTTGCTCTTTGGAACAATTTGATGAGAAATATAGTTCACATTGAAATCTCTTGGTTTTAATGGCACACAGTTGGCGACATTGTTGAGATCTTTTCTGAACTCTAGAGGAGACATAATCTTACTGAGCTCTTTTCAGGTTTCTCAGGAGAAAAATCTTAAGCAGAAGTCTCTATTTGCTCTCAGTTTAATCTCATTGATGTCTAGGAGAAACAGTTGAGATATTAAAGCGGTCTAATTTGTAATTTGTTATTCCCATGGGGTGGAGGGACTCGCTCGGCTGACTGTTGCTTAGCTGTGATTGGATGCAGAGCAGAAACCCGGCTGCTACTCAGAAGGAGTGTTACGCTCAGGGCACAGAAGGTCACTGGGGCCGCTGTTCCTCTGCCAACCCCTGGGCTCAGCTTGCAGAGACGGCCTGTCAAATCTAATACAGTAGAGCCTGTGAACCCACATGACATCCATAGTGCAGCTGGGCTGTGCAGTGCTCGCACATTTCATTCATTAAATCACCCCGTTTAGTCATAGAAAACCTACATTTGCACAGTGTTTGTGCTGTTAAATGTCTTTGGGCCTGCATGCATGGATAGATTGAGATTCAGTCTTGGTAATTAATTATTACAGGCACACACATGTAAATGCTTGCATTTTTTACTCTAGAGATTGCTGTATTTTCGACAGATCCTGCCTCAGTCCTCTATAACGGTTCTATAAGTATAAAAACAACACTGCAGTCCTGTTTTTCCATATATATATATATATTTTAAGATTTTGCAAAGTTGAGAGTGTGAGAGAATTGATGAAATCATTTGCAGTTTCTATAGTAACAGCGGCTACTCTGATTGGTGGATCTCTCTTTAGGATTTTGACTAGTACTTCAGTTAGAATTTGAAAATTGGGAAATTGAAATCACACCGACTTATAGGGTCCTCAGACAGTTAGGGGTTATGAAAGGGGTCCTTTGTGCTAATATGTTTTAGAAACCCGTATTTAGGTTATCTAGTGCCTGAGGATTGTCTATATCTAGTTATATCTAGTAAAATGTGTGAATGTGTTTGCGTAAGAGAGAGAAACCATGGTAACAGTGACAATATGTCCTGATGTGACTCTGCGTCAGACTCTCTGGTGTGTGTGTGTGTGTGTGTGTGTGTGTGTGTGCGCGTGTGTGCGCGTGTGTGCGCGTGTGTGCGCGTGTGTGTTCGCGTGTGTGTGTGTGCTAGTCACCATATGGTACAGTTCTTTTTGGCGCATAGCTGTACAGTTTACTTTTTATCTGTGTATTTGCAGGGTTGTGATTGTTTTTTGTAAAGCAGCATTTAAATAGATCCATCATCAGATATTAATGTCACCAGTCCACTGTATACAAATGTAAATCAGTCACTGTCAAGAGGTTCTTCTGCCGGTTAAGATGATGAATAATGAGTATTTAAATGTAATATTCAGCTCAAAGAAAAACGCCCACAATATTTTGGTGTACAGAATGGAGAGAGAGAAAACTTTTGTTTGTGTGGTTAATCATGTGTCCTCCTTCTGTCCTACACATGAATGGAAAAGAGAAATGATTGTCTCACACTTCAATTACCCACCCGATCTGGCCTACTTTCACTGCACAAACATGGGGCTTGCCGCTTCCTTTTCCACAGACATATTCAACTTGAAACTTGTGGGATCTTTTTAAAAGGAACATTTCCATTTCCTCTGGAATAATGAAATAGTCTGGAATCTAATTTGAAAATGTGCTGCTTTATAAATCTTCCTGTCGAAGGTTTGGACACACCTACTTATTTGTATTCTTTTATATTACTTTTATATTATTTTCATCAAAACTAAAATATAATATTTGTTAATGAATTAACATACTATCATTTGTGTTATTTACACAGGGGACTATATTGACAAAAAAAAATAACAGATTAAACCCATCTTATACTTTAGCTTCTTCAAAGTCTTTGGGTGCTTCCAGAGATGCTTTTTAACTATTGAAGGTTCCTGTGTATGCTGTACACTCATTGCCTGTTTATCCAGCCCAATTAATCCATTTCCAGTTGTTTAATTGAAATGAACTTGTAAAGAAATGTGTATGTAAGCACAAAATTACCATAAATTCTCACATATCCCTAGTGAAAAATAAATAAACTAAACTGTATTTGAAATACATTTTTTAATGCTAAGTATACTACAAATACATTTACATATTTATGTACTTAAAAATAAAAATTAACCCTTAATTGTACTTTTAATATACGATACTGGTAATTGGAACTACTAATTTTGTACTTAATGCAATTTTATTGTGTGGAAGTAGTGCCGAGGTCCAACTAAAGATATACTGAAGTGTATTTGATTGTGCTAAAGTGGAACTATTGCAAGTAAACTTTAGGTACACTTTAAAGGGGTCATATGATGCGATTTCAATTTTTCCTTTCTCTTTGGAGTGTTACAAGCTCTTGGTGCATAAAGAAGATCTGTAAAGTTGCAAAGACTAAAGTCTCAAATCCAAAGAGATATTCTTTATAAAAGTTAAGAGTCAACCATGCCTA